GCCATTTTTTTTTATTCCAACGTTTCATGACTGGACATGGTGACGACACACTCAAGTTATGTCAACTTATTTTATACCACCACCAACGCAGAGGACAAATACAGAACAGGACAATACTCATTTTCACTTGAGTTAAGTGAGGAAAGTCGTGTAAAGTGCCTTTCCCAAGGGCACAAGATCGGTGGCATGTCAGGACTCGAACCCGGGACCTCAGGGTTCCGAGTCGAGTACTCCGCCGCTACGCCACACGACCCCATCGACGCCATGTTGTGGACAAGTCGCAGAAACGTGATCTCAAAGCTTCAACTTTTATCATACCTGGAATTTACAATAATTCCGCATAGAAACTAAGTAATTCACAGGCATGTTGTGATCGACTGAATGGAAACCTCGTCTACTGAAAATCCCGAGAATCCCGGTCTACCGGTGGGATCCAGATCAGGAGGACAGTAATCCCATAAAGAAACTACGTCACTTCTGAAAGACATTGCTGTGAGACTTGGTCTGGAATGAAAACCTGAGAAACAGTTCTGAACTCACAACGCAGCATTATTCTTTTTTTTATTCCAACATGTAATCACCAGACGTGGTGACGGCACACTGAAGTTTTATCAACTTATATTAATGCTGCCACCAACGCAGAGGACAAATACATGACAGGACAATACTCATTTTCACCTGAACGAAGTGAGGAAAGTCGTGTAAAGTGCCTTTCCCAAGGGCACAAGATTGGTGGCATGTCAGGACCTCTAGGTTCCGAGTCGTGCACTCTGCCGCTACGCCACACGACCCCACACGACCCCATTTTTCATTTTAATGGATACATTACATTTTCTATAAACATAGAGTTGACGTGGAAGGCTATACATGCATATTCATACTACATTGCAAACAATCTAACTCCCAAGGACTGGAACTCTCTCATACGGGACTACACATGTACAGCGGCTCTCCCGTATCCAGCAAAGACGTTTTACCACATTTCGTAGGTGTCGGCACACTGGGAATGTCAAGAACTGTAGACAGTCAACTTACAAGGCCATCATATACACCAGTCTCCAGGCAAAGGGATGGATACTTCTTATACAGATGCTATGACATGTCACAGTTCAAGGTCTCTTCTCCACCTGACTTATCTAGCCATCCTGTTTTTAGCGGCCTTATCAAAAACATATTTCAACCTTCTTGTCGAAGGTAACAACAAACATAAACCTCCATTGAACTGGCGGTTCTGGCATGTAGGTTTGAATATTGAATGCACTCCAGGGTACTTTGTATAGTAGTTGAATCCAGTACAGCGTATACATGTATATCTATAACAGTTAAAACATGTTTACCTTCTTTATTATCAAAGGTTTTAGTATATCGTTAATTTCTTTTTGATAGCCAATTCATACCTACTCTCACTTTGCGCAATGGTTCAGAAGCAATTTTTTCTTGCTTTTACAAAATATGGAATGTCCGGAATTGCCATTTTATTCCCTTTATTCTCTAAGTCTTTGCAATTGAGATTAAACTACAATTAAGTGCACTTTCAGACATGATTAAAATTGCATTGTACTACTTCATTCACAATGGAACAACGAAAAAAAGGGAATGAATAATTTGTGAGCAGAAATAAATCTGTACCATATTTTTTTTATCATACCTACTATGCCAGCAATATTATCCCTAAGATAGGCTGTCAGGTGTACGTTCCCATTTTTGCATGTTTATTAATTATGAGCATATGTATTTTTATGTTATACGACATTCTGTCCAGTACTTAGCACCACTTTTAATATATAAGATTAGCGCTGGGGATAAAGGAACCACTATCATAGTGTGTTTTTAGGCATGCAGTGCACACAGATAATCTGTAAAGGTTATTTCTACCAATTTTTATTTGTTTTGTTTCAACTTCAATATGTACCAAATGTGAAACAAATCACATGCTTACAGCTCACTTCTGTTACGTATAACCACACTGAATTGATGTTCATGGCATTAAAAATTCATAAGAAACCACATGCTGCGGACCTGAATATATCACCTTCAATTTTTTCATGTATTTATTTCATCTTATAAACACCTGGGTGGCCTCTTCAACAGTAAATTGTTGATTTCCAAGAGGGTCCAGGGACATATAAACATAAAGCAATTTGTATATAAAAGTAAATCAAGTAACAAAACTGAGAAACGTTAACCGAGATCAGTATAACTGAAAATCAGTAAAACTGAAAAGTTAACAAATGATACAACATAATATAATGGCTGAACAGAAATATACAAACCAAAATGTCAAAATCATAATCGTGATCCAAATCGTGTCCAAACTACCGTTCCAAGGTCAAAATCCCTGGAGGTCAATTGACGCAAACAAATATAAGATAGTTGAATAAGTATATACACATCGTTATATATCTACCAAATTATCAATGGTTTATTGCAAATTGACACAAAACTATTAAAAAATAGCCGCCTAATAATACAATAAATGTAAAAAAAGGCTGAATTACGCAGTTTTAGGGAATACACAATTTTATTAGATATCATTAATATCTACAAACATAACCAAACTGCGTAACAAAAATATATACAATTGGTAGTCGGGTAATTACACAGTAGACACAGCACTGTTCACGAGTTTTGACAGGTATGGAATGGCATTTTATGGGTTTGGTCATATTCATTGTTCAGTAGCTAATAATTCGAAAAAAAAATAAAAAGAATCTAATTTATTATAAAAAGTTTATAGAACTGGGGTTTTGGTGGTCTTCGGCTATTTTCTGATTAGCCCAGTTCTAAACAACGGGGGTAATTCAACCAGGCCGGCTATGTTGTCTATATGCAATCAGAAAATAGCACATAAAAGATCCCAAAGACCTAAGAAAGTCCTAATAACAGTTTTGGCATGCTATGGAGGCTAAGAAGTGCGTGTTTCTATGTAACTACTACATATGCATACATTTGTATCTGTCAGTGTGTTTTTGTAAATTACAAATACTGCACGTGATAGCGAGCACGTACGTGAATGAATATTTAACCATCCTGGTCAATGTCCAGTCAACTACTTGTCACCCCACGGATCGGTCAAAGTACAGGTTAGACTATTCAGGTTACGCTGGTTGTGACACAGCTGTGAAAAAATAAGGACAAAATAAGGACAACCTTCATCAAACTCAACTCAGATCCAATGAGAGAAGACACCCCACAAGCATAAAGGTAAGGTAAAGTAGTTATCCTTAACTGAGTTTTTTTAATACTGGTTTATTTCTTTCAGACTGTACGGTACAGAGTAGCAGGAACACTGTAAGACCCTAAATTGATCTGCCGCATTACACAGGGTTATTAAAAACGGTTGGCACAGATATTTAAGGAATTATTAAAACAGTTAAAAACAGTAATTATTAAAACGTATTTGCAATAGGTTAAAAACACTAATTATTAAAAAGTATTTGCAATAGGTTGAGATCATAGTCAAGCGGTTAAAAACAGCAAATTATTAAAAGGTGAAGATAGTGCAAATTGGTAACAGTACAATGCAGCTTTGCAACCAACCACTCACATACTTATATAGCCATTTAACTAGGTCATCCCTAGTCTTCTCGATAAGTGTTTTGGCTTGTTTTACTGTGCTTTTAAATTTCTTTCTTCAATTGAAACTTTGGATATGATGGAAAGATAAGTTGAAGTCTTTTAATGGTACGTGTAGGTTTTTGAGAGGGCAAGATGCTATTCATTGATCCCAAGCAGAATGATAAGACTTACAACTACTCGTCAGAAGGAAATGTGATTGGGTGTTCTTTGTTGTTTCCAGGTTTTGTGTGGATACTCAGCCAACCTGCATCACAGTCAAGGTAGGTTTGGTCAACTTCCTGTATCATGTGTATAAGATGACCTTGTTGTAAGGTGAGGATGTTTCGGACTCAGGGAGAAGAGTTGCTGTTACAGTTTCAGGCTAGCTCTATGCCTAGAAGTGGCCAATGGCCTTGCATTGTGCAACACCGTTAAAAAAAGGTAATATCAAGTACTAGAAGGTGTAATGAAATGCCAATGAAAGATAACGGTATGGTCCTTTAATTTGGTAAGATTTGCTGATTTAATTCAAAAGGTGTAAATACACAATAAGAAAGATGCATCGTTATCATCATCTCCATCGCTCGACCGTATTGGTCGGGGTTATACCGCCCCTTACGAGGTGACATACTAGTACCCTTTTGTTAGCTTGATACAAGACGGGGTTCGCCACGCCTCCGTCCGGATAATGATGCAATCACCATGAGTGATGATGTAATCACCATGCGGCTGATACGGAACAGAGGTTTGAAGTGAATCAACAACTCCACAAAGTAGTGTTTGTACCATTGCACACCGGGGCATGCCCCTACTCTTTTTCGAAAGGTGTGGTGGGTTCTTTAACGTGCGTTGGGTGTGACTCTCCCCAAACACGGGACCTCCATTTAACGTCCTTTCCGAGGGACGTCCCTAGCCGAAGCTAGGTACTCATTTCCACCTGAGTGAAGTGAGGAAAATCGTGTAAAATGCCTTTCCCAATGGCACAAGATCGATGACAAGGTGGGGTTCGAACCCGCGACCTCTGGGGTCTGAGCCGAACACGCTACCGATTGCGCCACTGACGACCCCCAATATACAATCAGAAAGATACAATAAGCAGCAATAATCAAAATTCTTATTTCTCTTACTGGTTTGTAATTTATTCATAGCACATTCAAAACCCTGTAATGTTCCTCATGTCAAAAGTGGTCTTTACAAATAATTGTTTCCAGGTTTGACAGCCCAAGGGTAAGGTAGCAGCTGTGTTGTACCAGACAGGTGTCAAACATATCGAGGTGAGTTTGATCCTACTTTGCACTAAGTCCCATGGTAACGTAATGAAGAAGTGTTCTGAAGTCTACTACAAAAGATCCAAAATGTGCAGTCATGTAATTATGAAGCATTATAGTACAACGTATTTATATTTAGTATATCTTATCTTGTCCTAGTACAGGGACTGCACGATGGTTAAGAAGCCAGCAGGTGTGTTGATGTTCCTCCTGGTCATCCTTATGGTGTTGGGAACAGCAGAACTACAATCTGACTGCCGCTGTTCATCTTCAACCTGTGACTGCCAAAGTCGGGGTCTCACCAGTGTCCCCCAGGACCTGCCGACAAACACCACGGAGTTGCTATTGCAAAGTAACCAAACCACAACGTTAAGTCAGTCTAATTTCTCACGGTATGGGAGCTTAGAAATATTAGAACTTGGTTCCAATCGCATTTCTACCATCAATGACCAGACATTCTATCACCTGTCAAACTTGAGCAGCTTAAATCTCGCATTTAACCGCCTTCCAATCCTTACACCTGGCACATTCACAGGGCTTGGGAACTTGGAGACACTCAATCTGCGTCGTAATGACATCACTGATATTCCGGCTGGAACTTTCAATCCAACACCACAGCTGAGGACATTAGAGCTGCGTAATAACAGGTTAGCATTCCTGAGAGATGACATGTTCACAGGGCTGGGAAACTTGCAAGAAGTTTCTCTGTACTTTAATGAGATCACTGATATTCAGGCTGGAACTTTCACTCCAACACCACAAGTCAGAACATTGAAACTGGAGAATAACAAGTTAATAGCACTCAGATCTGACATGTTCACAGGGTTGAGAAACTTGCAGCAACTTTGGCTGGAAGATAATGACATCGGTGATATTCAGCCTGGAACTTTAATCCAACTCCACAACTGAGAGACTTGTTCCTGAGTGACAACCAAATTCAATCCCTCCCTCCATGCTTCCTGGCAAATCTACCGAACCTTATGGATCTCAGATTGTCTGAAAACAGCCTCACAACCTTTCCCTTTGAAGAGATGTCGAGATTTCAAACATTTTCTCTTTATACCTTCGAAGGAACCAATTGACAACTCTTCCCTCCATAGTCTATGACGTGCTTTCATCTATCTCTAGTGTAGATATCTACACCAACCCCTGGCAGTGTGACTGTAGGATGGTTGACTTTAGACTAAAAATGAGTGGGTCTTATCCATTTGAAGACCAGATTACTTGTTCCCAACCCGACAGCCTCAATGGTCTAAAGCTTAAAGATGTCAGTCCTGAAGATCTTGAGATGTCAAACTGTGAGGAACCAACAATTGTGAGGTTTGTGAGAGGTGACAACATGACTTTGTATCATGGAGAGACTCTCCTTATGGTCTGTGAAGCATCGGGAATTCCCACACCAGACATCACAATCACTCTCCCATCTGGGGTGAATGCTACTGTTGACTCCGTTGGAAGAGTGAATGTTTATGTGAATGGTACAGTGACCGTAAGAAATGTTACAGCAGCGGATGCTGGCCTATACACTTGTAATGCAGAAAATTTAGCCAACTTCACTTCTGCATCTGCCACCCTGGTTGTAGACTTACATGCAGTGCCCACAACTGTTTTACCACCAGTGGTGACGTCGCCTCTTGATCGCAGTTTCACCCTACCTGTCCTCCTTGGCAGTACCTTTGGTTCAGTAGCCGGCGCTCTCCTCATTGTTGCCATTATTCTCACAATCTGGTGCAGAAGAAGCAGCAACCAGGGTCCTCCCGAAGGCCCAGGCGTTAGTGATGTTCTTGCTGCGGACACCGATGATCAGGAGCAGGATCTCACAGGGCAAACTCAGGCCCAACCTATCAGTCCACCCTCAAATGTGGAAATGGCTGAGTATCCACTATCCAGAGAGAGCTTGGTCTGAGTCGTGTGGTGTAGCGACAGAGTGCGCGACTCGGAACCAAGAGGTCCCGGGTTCGAGTCCTGACACTCCACCGATGTTGTGCCCTTGGGAAAGGCACTTTACACGACTTTCCTCACTTCGCTCAGGTGAAAATGAGTATTGTCCTGTCATGTATTCGTCCCCTGTGTTGGTGGCGGCATGAATATAAGTTGGAAAAAACTTGATTGTGCCGTCACCACGTCTGGTGATTACATGTTGGAATAAAAAAATTAAAAAAAGATGATCTGGTATAAAAGGTCTAGTAGTTTTCAGGTTATACTGTCTGAATCACATCAATTGTTTTACGTGTTGATATGATGGTTTTGAAGAAACTCAGTTGTCATGATTTTGTTTAGATTAGGAACTAAAAAAACTAAACAACTTGATATTTTATTAAGTATGATTTAGGAGTGTTTTGTGGTGCATAATATCAGTAATATTCTATTAGTGAGATTCTTGTTTGGAAAACAATGATTAAGTTAATAAATTACTTTATTTGAAATTTTTTTGTTCCCTGTGTGTGTGCTCCTGTGCATAAAGTTCAAACAGCCAACACAATTTGTGATTTTTACCTCCGAGGGAGAAGACATTCTTCCGCGGAAAGGTTTTGTGAGAGATTTAGATTTTCATGTTCGCAGCTGTTTCTCGGGTTTGGGTGGGCAGATTCTTTTAAGACTCGGTATATGTTTTGCTATTGGGCTGCAGATAATGCACGTTCTTTTGTTTTTATTGTATGTGTGTTTTCGGGCGTAAAAATGGTGCCTTCTGGTGGCCCCAGAACACCCCTTTGAGCGTGAAAGTGGTCGCGACCGTTGACCTTTGGCGTGCGTCAGGTATTGTCGGTCTCGTCCACGAAGCTGACCTCACGCACAGAGGGGTGTCCGGTCTCGATAAATTCCTTGTTTAAAACCCTAGTCCTGCGGCGCGCAACAAATGCAGGATGAGGGGTTATACAGGAAGATATAGATACACAGGTTGGTACCATGCATTTAAAAGCAATATATAATAAGATAATTTCCTTCCGGTGGTAATTAAGTGCACGTAGTTGCTGAAAATGACTTTCACGTCAATTTCCTCATTTCCAATGATCTTTTGTCAAATCATTAGCAACTTTCCCAACGAATTTCAAAAACAACACAATGAAAAGAGGTGTGTTGGCAATTTTACAACACTAATGAATAATGAAGGTACCTGATTGTACATTGCACACTGTCTTGCTTAAGACGATGTATGAAGAAACCCAATTAAACAATTTCCGCTCATGTGTAGGTGGATGACGAATGACTTTTAACACATTTTATTATTGCCTATATTTCATCAAATTATCATCATCTTTCTCAGACAAATTTGCCACGGTATGATTAAAAAACTCAATTTGCAATTGGTACAACACTGAAAGATAAGCAAGGCAGTTTACGATATGTATATTCAGGTAGCCCTTAATTGAAAGGACGTATGCAGGAGCACATTGAAGTACAATGAAACAATTTCCGTTCATATGTGTAGGCAGAATATGTTAATGATTTGGGAGGACTTCAATCATGCAACTTGTACCTAAGCTTCAATAGTCCTATCATGGAATGAACTGAATTATAGAATTTCCCCATAAATCATGCAATTAACATCAATATATGCATAATTGTCGCATAATTATATCAAGCATCACGTAAGCTACCTACATACCAAAAATCATGACGATCCGTCAACCGGTTCCTAAGTTATCCACTTTGGAATATTTTCAAACAGATAGCCCTGCAGTTCCAGAGCAAACTCACGTCACTTTTTCCCAGCTCAAGCGCAACATACTCTTAAAATTTCGTCACCCTAGCATGTCTATGTCATGAGATATCAAAACCGGAAGTCCAGCTGCAGTACCAAAACAAGCCGCTAGGGGGTCTAATCATTTTGAGGTCTCATGAAGACCTACCGACCAAGTATCAAAACAATCCATTTTAGCCTTCTCAAATTATCGTGTCCACAGACGGACACACACACACACACACACACAAACACACACATTCACATACACGAACGCCATACATGAAAACATAACCTTTTTGGCGAAGGTAATGATAACAATGTCAACTCTTTCGGTGACTGGGAATGGACTTTACCAATTATGTTGAAGGAAATTATCAACAACATTTACAGACAAATTTGTAAGGGCACTACTACATGTATACATAAATGCACCAAACTTATAAATAGGCAAGACAGCGTGCCAACTCGCCCTTGCCATTGAATGAATCACAACCATTCAGCAAGATGCGAGGCAAGGCACTGGTGTCGTTACTTCTGCTCTCCACACATTTGCATGTCGTGCGTGTATCTCCTCCGTGCCCCAGCATCTGTACGTCATACATACGCAATATCAATCAAAAAACAGTCGATTGCCGATGTCCGTATAGGGAACAAACATTTCCCTGCCTCCTGAAACATGGAGGGGGAACTCCGTACAACTCCAGACGGTGTCTCGCCGCTATTCCAACTGGCTTTCACAAAGACACCCGAAGAATCATAATCGAAAACCTCAACTCCTCTACTCTCCTGAGGTGGTCTTTCCCAAACATCTCATCAAGACTTGAGGATCTGACCGTCTGGAAGTCAAATGTTGCCGTCATCCAACCCGGGGCTTTCCTAGGTCTGTCATCGCTGACTAGCCTTAACCTCGCGGTCAACCGGATTTCCAGGCTAGGTAAGTTGAAATAGATCCCAACAACCAACTCTATCTACCATCTGCTGTTGCAATCAAGATTCATTGCATTCTGCTGAAGTATTGTTCAAATTACTTGGCAGATACGTCTGAAAAATTTTGATCGATATATGTTATGACGATTTAGGACATAGAATTGGTGATATCATAAGATTTACGTTATACTAGTGAACTACCAATTTCTGATTTTTTTTGGGGGGGGGGTAAGTTGTGACAAAACAAATTAAGAGTCATTGCACGAGAAAACCATGCAAAACCAGGCAGAGGTCGGAAGATAGGGGTCGGCCAAATCGGCTCATACTTTGTATGTGAGATAGGTATGAGAAACTATAAACAGCCATATAGTTAAAACCCTCCATTTATTTTTCGTTATGGAGTTCTGGGGACCCCCCCCCTCTGAGACCCTAAAAAATCTAACAATTTATGCCTGAAAATTACTGAAATTACAGTGGGTACTATGGTAATTCTCATGATGATATGAACATAGGTTTTCTTTTGTCACATAGCATGGGTCTCCTACCTTTACAAAACAAAATTTGAAAGTGCAACATTGCAGTTTTAAGGGTATATCAAGGGGCTACCAGAACCAATGAAATCAGAATTTTCATCTCTCTAAATTTTAGTCATTTTTAAGTAGATTTTTCTCCCTCACGCGGCAATTTTGATAAATGGTTTAATCTTTGCTGGAGACAGAAACATCTGCCGATTCAAAAGAAGTCTCGTAAAATTGGGCCACGCATAGCGCGGGCCGTGAATGGGGGTATTTATGTACATTATTAGTACAAGTTATATCATATCAAAAATGCACAGGCCATTCTGGTACAGGCCATTCTGCGTGCTATACATGTACATTTTTACATGTAATGGTGTAACATAAAACATGTATTTTTGCTTGCACTTTTCATTATTACGCCAGACGGCTTACATAAATTGATATCACCTATATATTTTTTTCTGTCCAAGAAAATTTGTAACGTCCGTAGAACAGACCCCGGGGAAGACCACCCAAGAGGTGGAAAGACCAGATACAGAGTGACACTGGGATTACCCTAAGTGTAGCAGAGTCTATTGCCCTTGATAGAGCTGGATGGAAGTACCTGGCGGAGGGGAGCAAGGGGCCAGTACCTGGCCTGTGCACATAGGCAGTAGGCAGGCAGTATAACAGTACAGAATGCCTTCAAATCACGACACTGCAACACTCTGATACACCCTAATCTTGGAATACGCGTAAACCAAGAAATATAAAACCCTTCTTTGTTTTCTTTTCTTCAGAAGATGATACTTTCTTCGGACTTCAACAGGTAGAAAGATTGCTCCTTTTCAACAATATGATTACAAGCATATCACGATATGCATTTCGTGGACTGACTCGCATGAAGGAACTGAAGTTGAATGACAACCAACTGACGTCTGTACCCGTCATGGCACTTCTGCAGCCCAAAATGCTGGAGGATGTAGACCTAGAAAGAAATCGCATCTCTACCATCCACAGGAATGTCATGAATCTCAAGCAAAACCCACGTCTGAAGCCCGTGCGCCTAGCAAACAACAACCTGCGCTGTGACGGAAACCTAACTTGGTTCATCTGCTGCCTGACGCAGCTTCGACAGATTGCCTCTCCCGACGCCCTGGAGTGCGCATCACCTGATGACTACGGCGGAACTGCCCTGGCCACCATGAGGAAAGGCGTCTGCCAGACCAACACAAACAACGGGTCACAAGAGGAGACCGGATCCACCACATATTATGGCAAGTCAGTCACAAGCTTGTACATACACAACCAGGACATCTGCATGGAGGACTCCACTGAGTGGCCATTTACAACTGACATGTCTATTTCTCGGCATACGACAGAAATAGACATTGTCGTCATTCTAGGGGGAGATTCAGTCATCAACAGGGATGTCAACAGCATCCAAACCTGGGCCATGATCGGTTCTGTTGTTCTGCCCCTCCTACTTGTGGCATCATCAGTGAGTGTCCTCTTCATTTTCAAAGGGTCCACGGGTCTAGCCAATGACGACCAACGAGCCGGAACGGACGATGAGCAACCCCCTACCTGTGAAACGGTATCAAGTCAGAGAATCGAGCCGTACGCAGTGGTCTACCCCGACTCGATTGAACCGCAAGCAGCCGGAATGAACTCGTCTACAGTCAAACAGACGGGAGACGAGGAGACTATCCAGCCGTATGCCGTGGCTTATGGCGAAGACCAAGGACAAGATTCTGAGATCAAGCCGTATGCAGTGGCCTACAAGAACGATTCAGAGCAAAACGACGGACACAAGATCACCCCGTGTGCGCTAGGATGCCCCAACACACCGCAAGACGCCGGGGGCCATACTGAGCCAGATTCTGCACCAAACGTGGTAAACATCACCAACCGTGAGGAAACAACCGTCAAGCAGCCAGTCGCCCGACCAGACGAAAAACAACAGCCAGCAGTCACCGATGCGAAGCCTAAGAACGGGGACGAAGAGGCTGAAGATGGCGACCCGTCAACACGCGCACGCGGCGGCAAAGGTCCCTACGAAAAAGAGGAAGATACCAGGATTCCGAGCGCGAGCAACATCTACAGGAATGGCCCACGGCACGGTGACACAGAGCAGCACAGCACACCCCACACCATCTACACCTCACCAACCGAGGTTCAGACAAGCAAGCCTACAGTCCTGTATGAAGATTTCGTGGACACTGGACCTCTCCACAACTACTGGAGACGTGTCGAGCCTGAGCCGCTGAATTAATGACACTGAAAAATGGAAATGTACGAAAACTTTAGACTTCTAAACAAAATGGCATGGTGGAACCTCTACAAAATACCGCAAGATTCAGTCTCAGACAATTACAAAAAGAAAAGTTGTGTTAACCCAAATCATTCACTGAACAGCACAGGCGGTCTTTGTCAAGAAACGGGCCAATCGACCACATCACTACGACTCAAATCTTACCAGGGACAAATCGATGATTTAACACGAATTATAACTTCGGACAAATAAAATCAGAGATTAATCAAACATTAATTTATGATAAGATATATGAAAATTAAGAAAGTCAAGAAGAAATTCAAAGCGGCTGCTAACTGACACAATTACATTGCATTTCATCATCCACACATTTCTGAGAAAGGAATACAAGAAAGTACAATCTGATTTAGGTATCTAAGACAATTGATACATAGAAGACATGCTGTTCCAGTAAAATTTTATCAACTTACACAGGTGCCTACAAAAGGTCCTATGGTATTGCAAAGGGCTCTCACTTTGACTCTCAGAAGGCCTTTTTAATCTCTAACTGCGGGCTGCTACAATGGACTTAATAAAATCTTTCAGCAGTGCTGTGCAGCAGTTGTAGTCACGCACGAGTGCGTACAAACTGCAATCAAATCAACAATACCAGTAACTTCGGTGTCTTTTAAAAAGGGTGTTGACGACGTGTACATATCAGAACATTAGTCTACTATTTCACGAAAACAAAATAGCACACCTTACACATCAAAGCGCGCATGTCGTGAAATGTCAAAAGTTACATAACTTTTATGTATATTCAACGTCATCAATCACACTGTTGTTTGTGAATGTTATGGACTGTGTAACTATTACCTGTCAGTAGGGTAAAATGTCTGGGCAGGAACAGTCTGCGTCTACCCCGCCCTCGGGGCCGGGGGTCGAACAAACCGGGGACCTTCCATCCCAAAGCCCTTCCGGGCATCGGAGTGGTGCAAGCGGTGGTGAAAACCACCACTATGCAAATTGGAAAGAGTTCGAAGCGTCTACCGATCCATACCAAGCAGCCGAGGAGGTGAAGCTACGGAAGCTCGTGCCTCTTCTATTGGGGGCTCGACGGCGCCAAGCTAGACCAGGGCAAAACGCCAACCAACTTTTCCAAGAGGGGACTGATGCCAGAGACCTCAAAATATTACGTGACCCAGGGAAAGTATCAACAGGTAAACGATTGTTTTCCCTACAAACGCATATGTGCGAAAAATAGTTTTAAGACAGCAAAAATACATGCCAAATAGAATTTCTATCCTTGAGGATATGGCTTACGGGAAATAGGTACAAACCATTACTATCTTGACACTAGTAGCATCTGCTGCTACATGTGTATTCGGCAGTGGCAGTCACTGCAATTTTCTCTTTGTTTTGGTGTTCTCGAGTTATTCATGAAGATTTGAGATTTTGATGATTCTTTGAGCTTACGAACGAGCACGGAGTCATGTAGGAATGAAAATTACTGGGCACACATCATGACTTCACATGTATCATTACTAAAAAGAATGCTACAATGCTATTATGCTTGGCGACAATCCTTTAACCCTATGTAGACGGGGGGGGGGGTAAAAGTGCCCGCGCAACCTTTGATGTCGGATAGCATCCAAACGGCTTGCGCTAAGACCACCAAACTTAGTGACTTTTCCTAAAATATTGTAGATACGGTTTTTAATAATCACATATATACATGAAGTAAATAACTGAGCTAGTGATTAACATTGGATCTTTTTGGAAAGTAAAATTTATGGTGAGGGACAACTAAATTTTTTAATTGGAATTTTTTAATTGGAATCTATGGTGAAACCATATAGGTAGTAACGGTAGTTAAAACCCAATTTACCTTTTTTCAAACCTCCAAAAGTCCTTACCCCCACAGCAAAGCTGGACTTCCTGTTACAGTTAGGCCACACCGCCTTAATTTTATGGATGACATCCTCTGAAGACCCCCAAACTAGTGCGCGCGGGCGAAAAAAAGAAAAATACGGCCAAAAATAAAAATGGTACTAAACCACAGGAATACAAAGCCGGTATTGTGAATTTGACGCATTACATAGCGACGTATACGACGCACATGCTGGCTTTTTGCGGAATTTATGAATCAACACTGTACGTATGTCGTGGAGCATCAGTAGCCTGGGTGCCGTCCTCCAGAGTTACCATAGGCTCCGTTGTCGCTAATCACCATGGACTGCCAGACGCCTCGGAAGACGTGATCTTTTTTTTTTTTTAGAACAGGCGAAAATCAATGCGCGCGCGGATGTCATCCATAAAATTAAATCGGTGTGGCCTTACAGCCGTAATATGAAAATGATACCAGTATATCACCCCCTGTCCCAGTTGGTCAGTCCATCCAATGAAGAAGTATCTAGAGGCCAATAACAGGTCAAACCATGCCAAAGGTAATAAATTTTGGGCAGGTTTTAAAATAACACATTCTTCTGCCCTTCTTGCCAACAAAACCTGCGTTTTTTTATCAGCTGGGTACAAGTTGCCCAGGAAATAGAAATGTTTAAGACAGAAGCCCCTAAAAAATCGTTTGCCTTTTCTGCGCATGCCGAATAATAAGTGGTCCCTCCCCTTATAATATCATCAACAATTCTGTAAGAAACAGGAGGAGCCAGTAAAAACCCTTCTGGTCCCGGACCGGGGTTCGAACCCACGACCTCCCGGGCACCAGAGCTTCATAACCAGACGCTCTAACCACTCCGCTAAAAGGTCTAGACCCATTTGCCGGATCTGTTGGTATCGCCTATAAACCCCCCACTGTTACACTACTCCCCCTTTTCTTTTCAAGATTCGTCCTCGAATCTTCCAAATCCGACATCCCTGGAGCGGCACTCTGCGCCAGAACTCCCAGGGCCGGTGTGGGAACCACTGTAAGAAACAGAGGCAAGCAGTAAAACCCCATTGGTCCCGGGCCGGGGTTCGAACCCACAACCTCCTGGGCCCCAGTCAGACACTCTAACCACTCGGCCGAAAAGGTCTAGACCCATTTGCCGGATCTGTTGGTATCGCCTATAAACCCCCCACTGTTACAATTCCTCAACAGACATGGCAGACCTATCAAGCGGCCATGTTGTCTGTGCCTACCGACATTACATCATTCCCGCCCTGTCAGTGGTAACTATGGTTACTGTTCAACTCGTCCTCATGATGTTTCTCACTGCACAGCTCCACGACCATATAGAGGTACTTAAATTTTTATCACGGTGTTTAAATGTTCAGAATACATGTCTTGATTACAAATGTCCACAGCATATGTATAACATTCTGTATTGTTTCTGACTATAGAATTCTACTAAATCTATACATATTGAAGACAGCTTTTGTTTTGTTTTCTTGATTACATTCTCAGTTCTCACTGATAAAAGACTAATGGCGAAATTGCTTCAAGAACTTTAAAGCATTGTCCAGACGTATCATGCTTGATAAGTGATAATAAGATGCACATAATGTCAAAAATATTTAAGAGGGGGATGAGAAAATATATTGATGCTTTTAAGTGTTTGGTATCATGAAACTCCTATATCAAATATTCGGTATCTTCAAAACTCGAGTTACGCGTGGAAGGGAATGCAACTAATTGCAATCATAACACCTGCATCTAGTTGTCCTGGGAAGACCTCTGGAAAGTGCACAGTTTCCTTGCAGTCATTTCACAAGAATGGTAGTTGAAGTACTAATTCAGGGAGTGAAAATTAGTTTGAAATACAAATAATTAGACGATCATTTGTGTACATGAAAAAAATCTAAAATTTATGGTGGAGGTATGAAGTTCTTTTGTGTTATTATTTACTTGGTCTGTACAGCTGGTGAACATTACTGTGGACGCTCTGAAGCAAAACATGGACAACCGAACTGCTTTCCTTGAAGAGCGTCTTCACGACCTGAACAAGATTTTAGGTAAGTCGATCTGAAGTTACATGAAAAGCATGATACATAGACCTATAACCTATTAATCATATGCTGAACATGTTCTTGATATATATTGAATGATTTCTATGGTGTTTTCTTTTAATTTATGCACTTACAATACGTAGTAAATTTGCAGTGATTCCTCTACGACTAGGTTCTTGTATGTTTCAGATTTCCCTCGTGGCCAGGCATTTGCAAATTTAAAGTGTCAAGTCGGTGCACCTGGGCCAGCTGGACCGATGGGACCTCCAGGAAAGGGTGGACCGGCTGGGCCAGTTGGTCTCCAAGGAAAGAGTGGGCCAATGGGATCAGCTGGACCGATGGGTCCCCCGGGAAAGACTGGGCCAATGGGGCCAGCCGGGCCAATGGGGCCCCCTGGAAAGGGTGGGCCAGTGGGTCCTTCAGGAAAGAGTGGACCAATTGGGCCGGCTGGGCCAATGGGTCCCCCGGGAAAGAGTGGGCCAATGGGGCCTCCAGGAAAGGGTGGGCCGGCTGGGCCAATGGGTCCCCCAGGAAAGGGTGGGCCAGTGGGTCCTCCAGAAATGAGTGGACCAATTGGTCCGGCTGGGCCAATGGGTCCCTCAGAAAAGAGTGGGCCAGTGGGGCATCCAGAAAAGGGTGGGCTGGCTGGGCCAGTGGGTCCTCCTGAAAAGAATGGGTCATCCTGGTCAGTGGGTTCTCCTGGAAAGAATGGGTCATCCTGGTCAGTGGGTCTTCCTGAAAAGAAGGGGTCATCCTGGTCAGTGGGTCCTCCTGGAGAGAATGGGTCAGCCGGGCCAGTGGGTCCCGGAAACGACCAACCCAAAGCCATGGGGTCTACAGGGACGGCCTGGACATGTCGTCCTCCGTGGATGGATGGACCAACGACTCTACCAAGTTATCAGTCTCATACATCCAACCAAAGTAACATACTAAAGCAAATTGTGTAAATTTTAGGGGAATATTTTGATGAGAAAGACATTCTAAAAGAGACAAACTATATAGTATTACGTTCATGTACATGTACACATTGTAACTGCCACAATAGACTTTTTATAAGAAGTACTGCAAAAAGAATTCAATTGAAATCATAACAAATATGGTACCAATGGGCATGTCAAACCGTTAGAATTTTTACCCTCCTTTTCTCTTAGCCGTCGGCTTCAGAATGGCTATATTCACTACCCTTGGTGCTACCGGACGCCGAGGTCCGAAGAACCTGGACAAACCCTACCGTGGACAGGACCACGAGACGATGGTGACCTTAAAGAAGGGGATCCAGTTCTTTATCATCCCTCAGACTGGAAACTACAAAATTGAAGCTGCTGGTGGGTTTCTTTACCTTTAATTTTTTAATTTCTATTTGTTAATCGGGACGGCCGATATCAGTATGTTTCTTTGTACTAACTATAAGTGTGCTGCTAATTTTTTTCTGTATTCATCTTTGTTGCAAATGACAAATTAGTGAACACAGAAGATGAACGACAAAATTCAGAATGAAACACGAGGCTATACTGTAATTTCAAATACTAATGTACTAAACCTATACTTGTTGGGTTACACTTTTTGGACGCCTTAAAAGACGAAGTACTCAAAATTTTCAGCAATGTATTCGCAAGGAGTATACTAGTGACTTGTGAATTTTATACAATTAGTGATACAAAAGCAGAATGCCGGCAAGGACAAATTCAAATAGACCAGCTGTTAAAAAGACGTAGAATACATGTTCTTATGTAGCAATTAGAGAATACATATCCTTATGTCGCCATGTAAGTATCCTTAGTTTACATATTTATATAACTCATGTTTCATTCTGCAGGCGCTGCAGCAGGATGGACCGGAGGGAATAAGTCTAACAGAGGCAAGGGGGCTAAAGTTATGGGGACGTTTTACCTGGAAGAAGGTAGGGATTTCTTGACCTAGACTGCTTTTACTGTGTGATATAAAGAGATGGGAACTTTTGAATGTATATATGGTGTTTGAAGATTATGATGTTTACCTTCGATATTGTTTTGCTCTGTTTCTTCTTTTTCTTCCTCTTCTTCTCCAAACAAACAAAATAAGGTCAATGACCTGAATCAGGCGTCTGCCACCATGGTGACTAGAGTTGCGTTACTTCATGTTGCAATTTTATAGCAAGAGGGATTTAGACTCCTGTCTGACCATTATATGAATGTGTTTGAGTAAGAATTTACAGAGTAGACCATATGCGTGAAGGTAAACATAATGCATTTGCTTCGGAAATGTTACGTTTCAAGGTCAAACGGGTTTTCTCTGAGTTTACATTTGATTGCTGCCGTTTATTTTTTTTCAGGAGATGAACTGAAGATCCTTGTCGGTCAGGAGGGAGAGGAGAACCGTAAGGACCCGGCTGCAGGAGGTGGAGGTGGCACTTTCGTGACAACGTCTGACGATTCGCCCCTTATCATAGCGGGAGGGGGAGGTGGGGGTACCAGGCATAGTTCCCACCATGCGCAGTGTGACGGGACTGTAGATACATCTGGCCAGGCTGGTTATGTTGCTAAGTATCAACCTCACCGTGGTGGCAGCCACGGAGAGGGCGCAATGGAAGGCACAGACGCTGCAGGTGGTGGGGGAGGGGGGCTCCTTACAAATGGCGGCGGGCATCCTTTTCTTTCTCTTGGCAATCGTCGGCGTGGCGGTGGGTCGGCTTTTGTCACAGGTGGTCTGGGTGGGAAAGGAATATTAGATACTAAAGATGGCCATGGCGGTTTTGGTGGCGGAGGGGGAGGGTACGGTTTTGATACGCTTTTTATGGCTCCAGGGGGAGGAGGTGGGTACTCAGGAGGAGGCAGGGGGGGTAATCATCCGACGGCTTGTGGGGGAGGGGGAGGCTCTTTTAACGTAGGCACCAACCAATGTGGCAACAATGGGGTCAACGATGGTCCTGGGTACGTGGTCATCACCAGGATGTAAGACTTGTAGGCCCAGGAGGTTATTTTGGGACATGTGCGAGGCCACAAGGCGCCATGGTCGACGCCATTTTTCTTTCGTTGAATCTGACAAAATACATTGCCATTGACATCTTCTACACTTGAGGAGTATTTAGAGCGCTGCGCACTCACCCCCCCCCCCTGCGTGTTTGACCCCAACCGAGGGGTGTTACGCAGTACTACATCAAGATCAAAATCATTGTTTAATGGCTTGAAGGTCAATTTGCGTTGAGTTAAAAAGAAATCAGAGCCATGTTCCTGGGGTGTTTTCCTCTCTCTAAAAACACCAGATTCTTGTCATCTAAAGCTCCGATGAGATTTACTTTTTGGAATTCATGTTTAGATTTCCTCAATCAAAATATGAAAACTGCAGATCCTATAGAGTCATCCACCTAAATGGATCGGGGTATATGTATTTACATTACCATCCTTTGCTTAAAGAATGCTTAACTCCAATATCATTTTATTGGAACAAACCTAAATACATGCCGATGTTATGTGCATCTGATATTTTTTACATTTACTAGTGATTGTATTTATCATCGTAGACGACAATGTGTAGTTTTGTTGTTGTTGATTTCCATGCAATACACAGAAAACATTGGAGTGTATATTGCTTAGCCAGGCCGTCACTAGAATGACTTTAGTACGTGGTAAATTCTTACGCTGTGCATGTATCAAATAATTTTTCAAAATTCCAGCCTTTCTAATATTTGAAAGCACAATGAATTGTCTAAGAAAACTCAATTTTTTCACTACCAATCATGACATATATGAACTATGTAGCACTGTTTAGTAATATATGATTATTAGTTGTGATAATACGGTATGTATATAGCTCTTATTATTTACAGGACACTTTCTGCTGATTGTGTATTTTTTCAGCTTCAGTTCTTTTCAGTCAAGTCAAAGATTATTTGAAACCTGACATACGGCGATAAGTTGTTCGTCTAAAACTAAAGCATTGTATAAGCTTAAGTATCTTTTTACCTTTTTAGTAACAGGGAAGGTTTTTCCAATGAGTTACACATTGATGAAGCACATTCATTTCATCTGGGCAAGGGATGTTCTCACAAAAGGATAATGCTGTTGGGCGCTTTGTGTGGTTTTGTAAGTTTGAAGTTGCGAATTGAGACCACCAAACTTGTCTGGTAGGGTATTATTAAGAAATTGGCCTATGAAGAGCAACAGTTGAAGTCTATTAATAACGTTATAAAAATGTTTGAAATCTTGAATTTTGTTATATAGAAGTAGAGAACTGGAATGTTATCTGGCACTTGCAGTAATACAATGTAACACACATTTTTGGAGTAATGTGGATTTGGGGTAGAAGTGAGGATTTTGGACATACAGACGGACAAAGAGGAATCGTTGATGATGGTTGTCTCATGTGATAGTTGTAATATTTTTCAAAGCATTATTTGTTGCATAATTATGTAATCATCATCGAGGCGTACGTGGTTAGAGTGTTCGCCCAAGAAGAGGTTATATTATTGGGTCTGTCAGTCCTTACTTTCAATGAGTCTTGCGATGTATGTGAAGTGCCCTATGTACATGTATATTGCCTTTCTTGGTTTAGAAAGACGATGGTTCCATGATAATTATCAGTATGGACTAATATGAAACTTGTATAGACAGTGGTAGGGTCCAAAGGTAACAGTCAGATGGTAGAGAGATAATTAAGAAAAGGTCGGAAGGGAAAAGTGTGGTTGTAATCACGAGGTTGGAGAATAAAGCAACGAAGGGACCAAACAGATTGTCTGCCTTGTGATTTGAGACGTTTAAAATACCATCTGCTTTTCTTTAGTATTCTAAAAAAGATTCCAAAAGCAGAAAATTGAGCATGTTCTGAAGGAATGCAGGGAAATTATATATAGGGTCATATAAAGCTTCAATCAAACCTGCCTAAGACGACCAGAGAAAAGCAGTCGCCGTAGACTGGACGCCTACACTGTAGTTGAACTGGGCGGTGAGGAACGTCTACAGGCCCGAAGGGAGCCCGCCAAAACCACGATATCCTGCACATTAGGCTAGACATTTCCAGGTTATCATAAAACTCCCAATGTGTCTGTCAGATTTCAATCTGAGAGGTTTCTTTGATTTCGTTCAACTGGCAGATTTAGGCCACACCAATGTAATTTGTTCGTTCTCGGGTTCGCCTTTTCATTTTTCTTCCGATTTGCAAAAAAAAAAAAAAAAACGATTCTGGTTCAGAATCAACTCAAATTTAAAATGCTCATATTTTGCCCCCAACAGTTGAGCAAAGTCATTTTCTTCCTGTATATTACAGTGTTTCCATCTATCAATGCAGTGGTTTGATTGAAAGTTCATAATTCATTGTTTAAATACTAACCCAGCCTTTTGTGTTGAGTTCATGGCTCCTATCTATAATATGATGCCTAGACCTGTTTTTAGTTTTTATTCACCCTGTCGCTTCATATTTTTTCTAAAAAAAATCCGAGAACCAACAAATTAAATTGGTGTGGCCTTAATTTATAATAGGAATTACAACAGAACGTCCGGAGCCGCAGCTAAAAAATTATTTTTTAACAATTTAATAATATCGTAAGTCAGAAAAGACAAATCTATTCATTGTTATCATAATTACGAACCAGAAAGCTGATTTTATACAAAACATTTATTTTTCGCATATCCACTTTTGTTGCATTTGTTGGGTCTAAAGACATGAGCAACAATAGCAGGAGACTTAATACAGGACAGGCATATGACATTGGAGTTGCCTCTAAAACTTGACAAGCTGCTAGATACACAAATCCGTGCAAAGTCACGTTAGGTCAGCTGGCTAGTATAACTTGGTGAGACACATACACTTTTTTTTTACAAAGTGAAGAAATTTCTTCACAACCTTTTTCTAGTTCATGGAAACACAGTTTAAATTGATCGAACGACAATCACATAATGCTGTGACACTTGCAACAATAACATCTAAAATCGCCATACTCCTTTCAATAGGGAAAATAAAAAGAAGCAAAGTCTCTCACAGTAACATTATTTCTAAATGCTGTTTTCTAAAAGTACGAGTTAAAAATTGACAGAAAGTTGACATGACTTAGAACACAACTTATCAACAAAACAAAAAAACAGCAACAACTTGCACGTTACATTTATTTTCTGGCAAGATATCGTAACTACCTCTGGAATGGATCTTTTGATTTCTATCTAGTATATCATAGTAAGTCATATAGCTGATACCGTAGCTTTGAATGCAGAACCCTGTCCTTTACTTCAATTGTAAAGTTTAATTAATAAGCGAGTTATTATCTTCTTATAATCATTATTGCAGGTTATGAGTAGTTGATAAAATAGTTCTTTTGTTTACATTCATTAAAATACATTATCACTTTCTTATCTACAAGAAAAATACACTAGCCACGCTTTGACAACATGTTAAAGCTTGGCCGTTTTTGACAAATTTTACATTAAGTCATTTACATGTTTGTGACTGTCATTTACATGTTCGTGACTATTCAAATATCACCTACAGATACATACCGTGTGTCTGTACTTTGGCTTAATTCCATACTCGGCTTAGTGCGTCTATACAATAAGTCTGTGGCTTTGCTTTTGTACAAGCAGTACTCTAGCTGTATAAAAATAGTTGTGAAAAACCTTAACACACTATCAGCATTTTTCTGGGATTGTTAGCGTAATTATACAAATGGGGCAAATTATACCACTTAACCAATATGGCCGTGTTTGTGGTAATTATAGTATATTCCACTACACTGTATCCTACCATGCTAGATGCACTGATAGTGTACACCGTTTGCTGCCATCCATCAGCGAATCAGATGTTCACATTCCTGTTAGTTTATGGTACCAGCCAATCACGCTGCCTATAGATCGTATGCATTGACGAGATTGGCTGCTGGAGGGAAAGTTGGCAGCCAATCATGTTACTGCTTACAGCAATGGGAGTATCCAATTGGATGAGAGGATTCTAATCCAGAGAAAGGACGGATTTCTTCCATTCCTTCAGAACTGTCCTTACCGCATTTCCACAAAATATCCCACACACATATATAACATGTATGCTTTCCTTACTTAGCAGTTCAGTACAATTTATCAAGCAGAGAGTCATGCAGGAATATATCACAACTTTGCATTTCTTACGGCAAATGTTACCTTAAACACACTGTTTGAAACACTGTAGATTTAAATAACTTTAACATCACATTTCCATACAGCTGTGGAGACTTACTGTAGGTTACAGAACAGAACAGGAGGGTCGAAAATAACACTTGTGTTAAAAAAAAAACGACCTGAATAAATGAGATGCAGCTACACCAAAACAAGCAGAGACTTGGCAAAGTCATGATAATATTGCACTGTGGTAAAATTGCTGTCCATTTATGAGTGACATATGACTATATCAAATGACAGAGCAAAGTGCACATATTTACATTATAAAATAGTTGCATATCAGACAGTCTAAATGTTATGTTAAAGTACGTGGTGTATAAATATCACTGATGTTTAGTCTCCAAAACTGTGGGTATACAAGAGAGAGCAAAAGCACAATGTAACAAGCTGCAAGCAATTACTACTAATAGGTTCTGGAGGAAAAACATTGGAATTGAGAAAGTATCATTCTGAAGTATCAAATGCAATAAATATCGTCCACTGTTCACCAACTACTGTAAAAAAACATACTATGTTATTTAGGCATCCTGTGTTTTTGATTACACGTTATGAGTTCACTGTATATAGGTACTGTGCTAAAATTTCTTTATTATTTGTAATATGGCCATATCATTGTTTGGGGGTAGATGGTATTTTGGAATTGGCAGGAAATAGATTCTGAAATAAACACATTTTATGTTTTGAGCAAGATTTTCACACTTTCTCACATTTGCAATGCAACAGAGGCAAATGCACACAGACATGTTGCAGAGATGGTGGCAAGCCCCCTCAGTATATACATGTAGTACGTCCTTAATTCCCGTGTCCAAAACTGGCATTTTGAGCATCACACTTGTATCTGAAAGTGTTTCTAAGTCTAGTGGGGTACTCGAGCAGCCTATGGTTGTGTACAGTTAACCCGAAGTGTACAGCAATAGTCTTGTCTTGTGCACTCTTCCCCAAAAGCTCTGTCACAAGAACCTGTGCTGTTTGGTCTGCTGTCCTTCCTCGACACACGTGTTTCAAAAATCGTATCCACGTGGCGGTCCTGGGACATCCTGTATCCGTCACAAATGAAGTTGTTACTTCTCCTTTACGACTTGTCTACTGTATAATCAGTTTCACTGCGTCTCAAATCACCATCAAGACCTGCAGAAGACGTTCTTGGCTGCTTAGAGCTGTGTACCTAAACCCACATTTAGGTTCAGGTCCGGATTCAAGCCCAGAGGTTTGGGTTCAGTTCTGGACTCGTAAGTCCGGACCTAAACCCATGGCATATACAAAATTGCATGTTGGCAACCTTGCAATGTTGTATGAGCAAACCCGTGACCACATAGCACAGAGGCCGACACATGACGATGCCCACATGATGATTTCTTCATTTTGCAGCACAGATTTAGCAATCTATGGAGTGTTTAAGGTGGTTTGTCCGGAATCGGCTCATGACTTTAAGTTTTTTTCGGACTGGAACCTAAACGTTCTTACAAGTCCGAAACCGGTCCAGCGAACTGGTACACAGCACTAAGGCTGCTTGAAGAGTCCTCTCGAGAAAACGTCAACAGCGTTCCTCGGAGGATGTTCTTTGCTGTCACGACAGCGCACACTGCCCGCCGTCCTGCGGGAGGTCCATCTCCACCACGGATGTCTGCTCCTCGCTCTCCGGGTCCTCCTTGTCGCTGGCGTTTCCATGGAAACCGAGAGCGTGAAAGTCTGCGGAGGTGAGCGACGACTCGGGGGTGGGGATGGGGGTGACCTGAGGTGACCCCTGGATGTCCACGATGCCCGTTAGAACCTCGGCCTGACCGCGGATCACCAGTAGGAACGGCTTGTACCCAGGGCTGAGGGGAGAGGAGGTGGCAATATCTGTGAATCTACTACATCTATCTATAATCTGCTATATCTACATACCATTTGGTCAGCATAGGAACACTAGAATTCAGAGAATATAAGAGTTTTCTTTTACACAATCAAACTTGTCTCACCTTGCTTACATTTCAGTGTGTGTCTATCAGACACCTTCCTCAGAGCTTCTGTCTGGAGTTCTGCTTCTTGCCGTAAGCAACGTGACACAAGTTTCCTATACTCAACCAACCTGATGAAACTATTTTTGGTAGAATTCAGAGATTTCAGACTCCTGGGAAGTGTTTTTTTTTTGGTAAACGTCCGCTCTGCTTCTTGTCATTCTGCCTGACATTTTCCCCACCCACGTGCTTTCAACCTACTCTGAAGTTCACCTCATTTCCTGTGTCTGGCCTTTTGACCTGTCATTCTGCCAGTCAATTTCCCTGTGCTGTTAACCTACTCTCTCCAGACGAATAGAAACAACAACAAAAAATTACAGTCCCCAAACAATAATTTTGTTTTTGGTCCACCTCAGTCAAAGCATGCTGTTTTGTTAGCTAGTACATGTATAGTGTAATGTGGCTTTCGTAGGAACGCTAAGGCCACACTGAATTAATTTTATGGATGACATCCTCTGAAGACTCCAAAACTAGTGCGCACGGGCGAATAGAAAAAATTCCGGCAAAAAATAAAAATGCTACACTATAACACAGGAATACAAAGCCGGTATTGTGAATTTGTGACGTATACGACAAGCCGGCACATGCTGGCTTTTTGCGAAGTTTTGAATTGGCACTGTGCGTATGTACTGAGATCTGGAGCTTCGTGGAGGTTCGAGTGCCATCCCCAAGAGTTACCGCCGGCTCCCTATTGTCGCTGACTAGCATTGACTATCCAGGCCTAGAGCCAGAGCTTTGGAGGACGAGGTCTTTTGTTTTTTTGTAAGGACAGGCGAAAATCAATGTGCGCGCGGATGTCATGTATAAAATTTAGTCGGTGTGGCCTAAGGAAGAGGAAAAACAGTCTCACCACTCGGTGTCAGCCCAGAGTTCCAGGTAGGACAGTCCCTCCCTCATCCTCCCCACCACGTCAATGGGCATGTCCGTCAGACTGGCTGTGTTGACGACTCGTGTTACACCCATGGAGTCCCGCAGGACCAGAGATATCAGCATGGCCCACTCCAGACACCCTGCCTCCAGCATCACATGCAGCAGGTATCTGGGTCAAAATAATGATGGACAGTTACATTTTGGGACCCCATTACCCGTGTCTGACCTTTTGATGTGTCACTTTGCCTATCAATCTGTATCTTCCTTTGATTAAAAAATTATTATTATTTTTTTTATATTCAAACAATTCATGACCAAACATGGCGACGGCACACTCAAGTTATATCCTTTCTTAAAGTTTGTACTATGGCACTTAGGTGTTTCAAATTTGACCCAAAAATGCGATTAACAGTAAACTGTTAATAAAAATTTAATGTGTTGAATGTGACACTATGAATATAAGATAATGGCAAAAGAATACATATTAAACATAACATTGAACATTTCAAAGGTCTACAAGGATTTTTCCTTCCACTGTCAAGTTTCACGGTACATTTAACAACAAGTCATGCATATGAGACATTTTACAGTCTAGTGCTGTGTACCAGTTTGCTAAATTGGTTTTGGACTTGTAAAAATGTTTAGGTTTAAGTCCAAAAAAAATCTTAGCAGCGCTACAAAATTTTGCAGTAAAGATACCCCATTTACCATTGGTTAACATTTTAAAAGTCCCTTCCGTATTTTGTACATGTACATGTCCTGGGTTTAAGTCCAGACCTGAACCTAAATCTCTGGACTTAAATCCAGACCTTAAACTGAACGTTGGTTTAGGTACACACCACTATTTCACACACTGCTACTAATTCTAAATAGTTACTCTGATTAGTGAGGTGTGTTTTTTCACAGAGTGACCACAGTTGGAAACGTTGCCAGGTAAAGTTGTGACTGGCTGTTATAAATGTCTTACCTTCTGTAAACAACTGCACATTGTCATTCAACAGGACTGTTATCACTATTTGCACAGGTTAACAATTAGGAGGCAAAATGTTTGCTGAGGGAAAGTAAGAATAGGGAGTAACCATTTCAAACACAGGGGTGACATCATGAAACAATAAAAATTTGACGGATTTTGAGCAAAAAATTATACCTGGTGATTCCAGTAGACATTATATACATTTTAAAAGTAGAGTTTTAACCCGTTTAGATAATTTGGTATTAGCATAAAGTTAAACTCCCCAATATGGAAACTGCTCCATTTACATAGTATAGTCCTGCTGTAACATCAAGACGGCAAAATGAGGTAAGATGTGGCATTACATTGTTGAGGAAAGTTGTTCCATCAACAGGCAAAAAGCTGGATTTCTAGATGTAAAAAGTGAGTATATCCCTACTGTGTACCTTTACATGTAATTCATGCCTAGTAGTAAGTAGGTACACTACAATTAGCTTCTGTACATTAAGCAAAGAAAGTTTCAAGTACACATGCATGTGCAGGTCAGGAGGCCATTTTGAACATTTGAACATTTGGCCACTTTGAACATTTGGCCATTTTGTTCTGCGTAACTTATTCAACTTTCTGCCATTATTATTAACTGCTTGAAATGTATTTTGTAAAGTTTGCAAAGATTCAATTTTCTTTATTTTTATACAATTATTTATCCCAGAATCAATAGGCAAGACAGGAATCAGAGGACAATAAACCAGAGTAAGAAGTGATATTAACATGAAAATGTACTAAGTATCTTGGCCTGTGATATCCTCTTTATCATCTAAAAGACACAAAAGATTATCAATGCTTCTTAATTATCTAAGTACCTACTGAGAAGAATTACCTGAGACAGAAAGTATTTAATATCTCAAACCCTTTTCTGTACCCGCAGACTCCCTTTAAGTTAACAAGTGGCCTTACTGTGGACTGCATCCACCATGGCTCAACTCTCTGCCCTCACCCGGCTGCTACTCAAGATTTCTGAGAACTTGTCAGAAACAGACGTCAGCAGTCTACGATCCTTGCTAGTCCCTGACATTCTGGGAGCAGCAAGAGTGGAAAATGCAACAGCTCTTGAAATTTTCAACATGCTGAAGGCAAACAACAATATTGGGGAGGGGAATCTGGACTTACTCGTGGAAATTTTAAAAATTTTGGGACAAGGAAGATTGGCAGAGGAAGCAGAGCGTCTCCAACAAAAGCAGAAAGGTGAAGGTTACGTATTGTACTTTGCTGTTCAGCAACTTACATGTAAATGTATTATGAGAAGTACATAATGTTACCAGATGTTTTTATACAAGCCTATTTGATTGCATATTTGACACCAATCCTACAATGGACCATTTTTCTGTTAAAATCAATGAAAAAGATTAAGCATTGAATCTGAGAAGTTTAACCAAAAGATTAACTGTCAAATTAAAATTGGTGTGCCCACTTTGATAAGACAAGCCTTTGCACCCTACACTTCATATGTCTCAATGCATGTGGTGAAGTATTTTAATATTTTAATAAAAATCCATTAATCATGTGTGACACAGTGCTTATAGTGTTGGTGAAATAAAGGAGGCTAAAGGGACAAAGTGTGAAATCGGCTGCACAAGTCCTTTAAAATCTGTTTCTTCCAGAGGGTCAAGAATATTGACATCTACATGTACCCCAGGTAAATTTAAATAAAATTCAGATTTAACCGGGGGTGCTCTAATTCCAACCTATGTTCCGTGCAAACCCATATACCTTTGGTAATAGTTTGTCCAAAAACCTGCGCAACATGAGATATAATATTGACAGATAAAGATCACAACAAATAAAGCTGCACAGCTGTGCATTTAACTTAACTGCAGCACCTTGCACCCAAGCGTAATGGTTCACGAAACTTACGGCAGGTTTTTGGTCACTTTGCCCTTGGAACGTTCTGTCGCAATAGGAGTGCCCTAATTCAACCTACATGTACATGACACATGGCAATCTGTGGAGAGTTTAGAATTTAAAAATACAAAAATTATGACTAAAATAAACAGCTGTTTTTCTGTCCCAAACAAGTCCTCTTTTTACGATTATGCGACTTGCTCCGTAGCGGCTGTTTCAAAATCAAAACTGCATTTTTAACACGCTCGTCAACCCCCGAACAAGCGTCAAATTCAAACAGATTTTTCACTCATCTGTTGTCGGAGCCTATGAACTGGACCAAATTTGTGAGATTACCGTTATCGACACAGAAACTTTGTCCATTCCTTTGGGTATTTATAGGCACATGCACCCATGCATAACGCCGCAATAAGGATTTTTCAAACTAGTCCGGAATTATGGGGGGGGGTGCGGAATAAGGGCACCCCCCATTACACATACATGAACAGACTCAGTTTTTATGTTGATTTTCAGCATCAGCTGTGCAGCAGACAGACTTCATGCATATGAGTGAACCCTACCGCAAACTCCTGCTGAGGAACTATGCAACCCTCTGTCAACAACTTGATGCCAGAAGAGTGCTGGACTACCTACACCAGCGAAGGGTGCTCACAGATGAGATGAGGCAAGAAATCCTGGCCATTCCTGTTTATCAAAGACAGACAAGAAATGGGAGGTTGCTGGACATGATTCTGCAGGGAGATGACAGAGCTTTCATCATCCTCTGTACAGCACTGGAGGATGCTGGGTACCCACATCTCATGCAGGTGCTCACAGGACGGCAACCACAACTCATGCCACGTAAGTATGACTATTGCATGGGAAAATTTGGAATGGGGAAGAAGAATGGGGAAGAAGAAATGTGCTGTATTTGGTCTTGTCTGAGCAAATCTTGGCCCTTTTAGTGACTACCGGTACATTGTATAATATCAGTTCTCTTCAGCTGGACCCAGACATGTCCGGACATGCACCAAGACGCTGTGCCCTTGGGAAAGGCACTTAACACGTATTTCCCCCATCAGTTAGAGAGTTCCTGGGCCCTACTAGGGTTTGGGTTGGCGTTAGAAAGGGCAACCAGCTGTAAAATCTTGCTTCAACAAAAAGACTTGCATTTTGTGCAAGCACATATAAACCCCGGTTTGGGGAAAAATGACATTAAAATTGGATGAAGAAAAAAAAATCATCCAACATCATGGGTGTGGCTAAAACAGTTGCAGCCATTTTTCTGAGGTGACGTCAACTTGTGCATTGTTCAGCTGCTCTTCTTCCAACTTCATTGATGCATAATATTTTCCTTCCACCATCATGACATCTTCCAAGTTCAAATATTACCCCCCCCCCCACCACACACACACTCAATTACAACTGCAATGCACCTGTATTGGTGACTGCAGAAAACTTACAACACTTTGGACATATTTTCATATGAAATGTAACAGTCAACCCTTGAATGTCATAATATCATCCTAGTATAAACCAGAATAATGTCCTTGCTTTTATCATGTAGATTTTAGTTATTTTAATTTTTATACTCTGTTTCATTGTTCTTTCATGTTTGTAATTTGCAATTCACCCCCGGGCACGAATTTGCAATAAACTTCTCATTAATACCCATGTTTGTTTGTAAATATTTTGTATCAACATGATGGTTACTGTAGTTTGTGATTTACAGCAATGCCCGTGGCACTGGCTATCTTCCCTGGCTTTCAAGGGAGGGAATATCGAAGTTTGGATGCATCTATTGGAGAGCAACCTCAGTTACCAGTAGCCATTCAAAGGCATTTATTTGATACTTCCCTAACAGTGTATCAAAGGGAACAGGTTTTCCAACTGAAGATTAAAATGAGGGATGAAGAGCTCAGGGCACTTTACATGTATCAAGAAAATCAAGTTAAATCATTGGAGAGAGCAAAAGCATTTTTGACCCAAGAAAGTTTAGAGAGAAACTTCAATGAGCTTCAGGCTGAAATTAAAGCACAACAAGCCATTATTGTTGGTAAATACAGGGGCTGTGTAATTCTGTTTCTGACGTTTGAGTCTAAACCCAAATTTGCACATTTCTGGGGTTCGTACACGAGCGGCCGTCTGTCTGCCAGCCTATCTGAGCTGCTGATTACTGAAGAGCTGCGGAAACTGGAGGGAGGAGACGAGCTGGTGGTGAAGACACTCGTACTGCAGCAGGACTACATGGCCTGGAGGGACTTCTACAAGAAAGGTACACAGAGGCTTTTTGCTTGATATGGGAATTATTGACACGTTGTCATGAATGTGTGTCA